CTCATAGAGGAGAAAGTATGTAGTATGGGAGGGAGGCATCATGGCATACTCATTTGTTCCTGGTGATTACCCTGCTGTCCAACCTTTATTTTAAAGAGACAACAGTGTTACCTGTTGACACTAGAAAAACCTCCCTTTCTCCCCATCCCACCAGCAAAAATTGTCATGAGTCTTTCTGCAAACTGCAGCCCCAGATCTAACCCAGACATGCTGGGTTTCCTTCTGAGGCAACCAACCAGTCTTCTGTACTTCCATAGCTTTGTAGTAAAATCCTGCTCTGGAGTTGTTCCTGTCCAATTTCAGTCCAAAGATAATTTTTTTAATAGTTTCTCCACATCCTTGCAACTCATTTAGGTAAATCTAAAAAGAAAACTTTTATAGTTAAAAAAAAAATTTAAAAATTGTACGTGACTAATTCTTAAGTGTGCAAGTTTGCAACAGACAAATTTTAAAATAATGTTGGAGAGAGCTTGGGGGAAAGAGAAGGAAGGTCTATTCAGGAAAAGATCAATAGTTCTTTTGGTGGTTTCTTGTTTCAATACAGCATGGTAAAACTGTTCAAAGGAAACCTAACACAAGCAGTAATGATTAAGCAACAAAAGCCCCCATTCCTTATAATTATAGCTCAGTGTGATACCAGCCTTTAGCAAATACGTCATTTTCTTCGCTGCAGTGTTAACAAGCCCAAAGCACAGCCTGAATGTTGCCTCTGATCTGACTGCGTGTGCACAGGTTTCTTTGGCTCAAGCTGAATGAGTTTATGTGCTCGATAATTGGCTTGGGATAGGTGTGGGTAGAAGCTGCATCCTCTGAGCTTGTCCTGTGCTGGTGACTTGCTTGCTCCACTGGCTGCTGATGCACAAGCTCTAGCAGTGCTTCACTGCCAGGGGAGTTCTCTCAAATGTACTTGGGTTGGTTTAACCCCATGATGAGGGGCAGCTCTGCTCAGCAGTGTATGTAGTTACAAAGAGCACTGCTGGTGCTCTGCAGCTTGCAACGCCTACAGAGGTGCTGAGGAACGTGCTGAAGGGACAAGTACCTGTGGCTGTGTAAGGGGCAGTGTGGTAGTGACCCTGGTTGCCGAAGTTCAGTACAGCACAGGAACTAGTCTGATGATGTTTTCAGGTTTTAAACTGCTGTAGGATTTGAGATGTCATGTCTCTAATGGTAAGAGCTGCAGCACGTGAACATCAGTCATTTGCTTCCTTAACCCAGATTTAGCTCAAAGCCTTACAGACATTTCTAGTAAAATCACAAGTTTTAAGAGAAGAAGAAATTACTAGAGCCTTGAATTTCTTTCCTAGTGCAGTTGCAGTACTCACATGTTGAGCCCAGTGATGTGGGTTTGACAGTCTCCACAAGAGAAATTGTCACTTTCCTTGTTAATTGTTCCTGTGCTTAATTACCTATGGCATTAAAAACCTTATTCCTCAGTTAAATTTGTTTGCCTTTCACTTGGGCACATTGCTTCCTATTATTTGTTTCTGTTCTGGATTATAGAGTCTCTGGTGCCTGATGGATTACTGCCTTAAAGTACTGGAAAACTGAGTCATTGCTTTCTTTTTTCAGCATGACAAACAAATTGAATTGTACAAGTCTTTCACTGGAAAAGTCTTTCCATCCCTTGAAATGTTTTTGTGGTTGCTCTCTTCATCATCTCCAGATTTTCGAGCAATTCTAATAGAGGTGTATGGACTAGAAATAGAAAAATGTCGGCCTTTAGTCTCCAGAGAAATGATGTGTGCCTTTTCCCACACCTTTTCCAGACGCATTGTTGCCCATGTTATGTACAAAGTAGACATGACACTGGGGTGAATTGCTAATGAGTTACTTCCCCTTCCAAACACCTCTTCTAAGCTAGTGCCTCAAGATGTTTTAGTGGCCAGTCCTACACGTGGGACAGCCTGGACTATCTGGGAAGGGCTCCTGGGCTGGTAGGTAGGCAGGTGTAATCCTGTTTATAGCCTTATAGTCAAAACACGATCTTCAGAAATGGAAAGTTCATACTCTTTCCTGAGTGTTGCCCCAGAGCTTCTCTCAGGTTCCTGCCCTGGTTACCCTTATCCCCAGCCAGGTAGGATGTGCCAAGTGTAAGCAGGAGCAGCTGTGGCAATTCCTTGTTCAGCTTTTTCCTTTGCTTGGTGCTGGCTGGTCGCAGGAGAAGGCTGGAACTCGGCCACAAGGCATTGATGGCTTCCCAGCACCAGTCTGCTTCCATGGTAGTGGAAGGAGAAGGGAGCTGCTGATGACCAGCTCTCCCATGGTTTGCAGACTTTCTCCTGTGCTCTACAGAGAGCAGGGGAATGGAGTGCTCCCTCTGGACAAACAAAGTCTTCTCTTCCCTTAGCCCACTGCAATGGCTTGGCTCCAGGCTTGATGGCTTTATCCTGCTGCTTCTTGGAGAAGCAGAGGAGGAGAGGGTGCAGGAGTGCAAACCTCAAGGACAGCTGCTTATGTGGCTGTCAGGGGACCCTTGGTGACGTGGAGAAGACACATGTGATGCATGGATGCTCTGACCTGGAGGGAGCACTGGGCCTTCTAATAGCTTGTTAAATCCATGGATTGATTGTCTGGGGCAGGACACTGAGCCTGATGGAGGGTCATCTGATGCAGGGTTAGATTTTAACCCAGCAAAGCTTCAGAGGGATGCAGAAGGCAACAGGAGGGAAGCGTTGGGTGGTACATTGTAGCGACCATTGCTGAAGGGCTCTTGGCCATCCAGGGTTGCCACCCCTGTTGTGCTTATGCCTCCAGAGTATCTGGGAGCTGAGGGAGTTCTGTTTGCCCTGCAACACTCTTGCAGCTAACTCCCCTGGAGCAGTTTTACATTTTCCTGTGGGAACAGTACCCTGAATTTCTTGAACTTGTTTGGGCATAAAATCTAAATTAGGCACTGAGCGTAAATTTGGTGACTTTGAGTCTGTTCCTGGCTTGCTTGCTTAGTGTCCTTAGGTGAGCTCAGATCTTGTAGAGACCTCACTTTCCATGTGTATTAATTTTGGGTTGTGTGTGAAAGGAGCTTACCCCGCCCAATAAGATCTTTGCAAATTAGGCAGGTAGACCAGCCTTGCAGGGCTGATGTCAGTCTCTTGTGCAGGGCTTGTGTTGGGCATGTGCAGCTGGCAGCAAACCCAGCACCAGCAGGCAGTGTCATGCAGCCAGCACTGGGACATGGCTAGGTTTGTCTGCTCAGCCTCCCTTGCTGTTTTTGTTCCACCGGGGCTCCTTGTTCCTTGTCAAGGACTCCTGGGACATGACAGGAGACCTAGCAAAGGGCGAAGGCACTGGGAAACAGGCTGAGACAGAGCCAGGCATCACTCCCATACATTCTTCCCAAAACCGTTGTGGTTTGGATGAGGACAGAGGGAGCTGGGAGGGGAAGGTGTATGCAGGGGTGTCTTTCTGCTCAGGTTTGCTACCAGCAGTGCCACAGGAGTCCTCCAGGCCAGGGAGAGGGGCAAGCCCCAAACGCTCTCTCTGGGCAGCCCGGGTTCTGTCCTCTCTGCAGCCCTCTCTCCTCCGGGCCCATCTGGTGAAGTCTGTCACCGGCCCTTCCCTGCGTTCAGCCTGCTCTGGGCTGCAGCCAAGGGACCAGCAGCGTCCCTGCTGCTCTTTTCCCTCCCCCGGGGATGGAGGGATCGCGGGCTTTGATGTACAGGGACAGGGCTGGGGACGGGCTGTGTGCGCTCATGAGAGTCTGGCTAGGCTCCAGCTGCCTTTGAAGTGCTCCAGTGATCAGGATGAAAGGGAGGGGAGTCCTTCCCCAAACCATCTGGCTCTAATTGCAGGTAGAAATGCCTCTCTGCGTGCCCCCCCCGCCCGGCGCCGTGGGGAGGGGGCACTCCATGCTCTTGGTTAATCCCACGGCTCTCGACTGGGCTGAGGCGAAGGGTGAGAGCTTGGGAACAAAAGGGGGTTTCAGCTGGGCAGCCAGAAATAGGCAGACACTGGCGGAGGTGCTGGGAGTTCGGGCACCTCTGCTCTCAGCCTTGAGCTGCGGGGCCCTGCAGACCTTCCCAAGGACGCCCTTGCCTCCAGGGGGGCTTTGCCAGTTGTTCCCATCTCGGGTTTCTTGGGCACACTGGAGCCTGCTGGCCCCCGGAGTCACGCTCTGTCGTGCCAGCGTGCACCGAGTGCGGGACGAGGAACGTGGGAACTCGCTGCGAGCACAGACATTTGGCAGCATTTGCTGGCCACCTCCCTGGCCCCCCGGATGACTGGTGCTGCCTCTCGGGCGAGGCTCCCTGTCTGCTACCCCTGCTCCTCCTCCTGGGGCTGGAGGGCGAGCCATGTGCCCCTGGAGTGGCAGCAGCACTCAGAGCCATTGGCAGCACTCGAAAGTGAGTTTTGTTGACTTGTTTGGCTGGGCATCTTCCCTTTCCCAAAGAGCTAAAGGAAGCTGGGTTATATCTGCCAGCAACTTCTTTCCATCTTTGTGGTAGCCTTTGGGCACCATCAGAAATTTCTATTAAACCTGTGTTGCTTGAAGTCATCTGCCCTAACACCAATACCACAGAACAATTTATTTGGGTGAGGTTTTCCCCTTTGTCATAAAGTCCTGGTTATAAACTTCTTAAATAAATATACAAAATTATTAAACATGACCTATGGTAACTCTGTGACCAGAAGCATCCCTTGATATTAACCCATTTCCAGGGACTGAGAAATAGCTAAAAAGGGAGAGTTACAAGTGGAAAGCCAGGCGAGATGGGCAACGGGACAGCAGAGGGGTGCAGAGAGGGTGGTCATGGGGTTGGGAAGTACCAGTCTGAACAGACCTGTAGGCTCAGTTGCATCAGAACTGAGCACTGACACAGCACAGGGCACTTTTATTAACTTGATAGATTAACATGTTAATTGCTATCCTGATGTTGCAGTAAGATGGGGTGGAAGAACTGCCTGGGGCAGGAGACCAGACCCATCTTTACTGGGCAGCAGTTTACTCCCTGCCCTGCACTGCCACCCTCAAGAGATGTTTTCTCTGACTCTTCCCTCTCCAGGTCTCAGCATCATCCAACCCCCGTTCAGCAGGGGACGAGGAGCTGCCACCATCGGGCAAGGCGCGGGGGCTGAGGCGGAGCGGGCAGGCTGGCCCGCGGCGGCACAGGCGCAGAGGCGTGGCTCAGCAGGCTGCCAGGAGCCCAGCACTGCCCCAGCCCAGTGGTGCTGGCCAGGAGGAGAGCCTGCCCTTCATGCTGGACCTGCAGAACTTGCCAGGGCTGGCCAATGTGGACTTGAGTGCACAGAACCCCAACATCCAGGTGGGGAGTGGGTCTGGGAAGGCCACAGCAGGGATGTGGGTGAGCACTGTGGTGAAAGGGATGCTCTCCAGCCTCATTTGGTTCCTTAAGAGAAAAGATCTCATGAGCAGGGTCTGTGTGGCCACTGTCATCTGTTTTCTTGGTGACTACCAGCTGCACATAGCTGGCATGGAGAAGCTCGTTGACTGAGGAATTTCCTCTGCCCCCCCCAGCCCCTTTTCACAGAGCAGGAGTAAACCCTCCTAACGTGGGTGACCTCAATTTCTGAGGGTGGTGTTTTCCCCTCTGGGTGACCACCAGCTCCCCTGTTCTTCCCACTCTGTCCCTGCTCAGTCCCTCTGGATGAGGAGAGACTGTTTTCACTCTTCATATGGTCCTGCAGCCCAGAGTCTCTGGCCTCTTGGGCTGGGAACCAGCACATGGTCTGGTAGGTCTGTCCAGGGGCTGTGCTCCAGCTCACTGCCTTGCCTCATATCTGCCCACCAGGTGACCATTGAAGTGGTGGATGATCCTCAAGCTGAGATGGAAATGGACTTGCTGAAGGAGACCAGCAATGACTGGTCTCTGACATCCTCTGAGTGGCTGTCTCATAAGGACCTGTTCTGGCCCCTCTTCTGGGAATACACTGACCCTGCTGAGGGGGAGGAGGAGGAGGAAGATGAAGAGGAGGAGGAAGAGGAGGAAGAGGATGACAACCTGGATGTCAGGGACAGGGAGGAAGAAGATGATGATGAAGAGGAAGATTACACAGCAGAATATGAGGAGGAGGAGTCCATGCTTAGTGGAGTAGGCAGTAACTGGGACCAGCGATGGCCTGGGCAGAAGAACTGGATCTTTAAGGAAAAATATAATTATGGTGAGTTCTCTTGGCACATGCAGCTGCCCTGCAGACCAGCAATGCCCTCCCCTGTCCTGCCTGGCCCACAGCTCTGCACCAGGAGTCACAGCGCACTGGTGCTCAGCCTCTACTTACAAAATAAGCAAGCATGCCAAGGAGCAAGGCCAGCACACTCAGCTGGGGCTGCCAGCAGTCAGACATGCCAGTGTCCTGGTGGGAATGGTCCTTGCATGTAATGGCACTGGAGCATGGGCTCTAGTGCAGGGATGCTCAGATGAGACATACAATGTAAATGTTTAATGACAAGTGCTGCTGCTGTTGACTCAGGTCCCTGTAGTGACATCAGTGCCAGAAGCCTTTTCTACAGATCTGGGTGTCCCCCAAGAGAAGAGCTGCAGAGAGCTAGATGGCAGATTCTAGTGGGCAGCTGGGCCAGGGCACCCCAGCAGCTCCCTCCTGCAGCTTCCTGACCCCAAAACCAGCTAACCTTTGCTAGTACGTGATGTTCAGCATCACGGTCAGTGTGCTAGGCCGTGTCGGGGTGGGCAGCGATACCTGTTTGGGTTGGTATGAATGGGAGCAAAGCTCTGAGAATGAGAGCCCTTGCTCAGGGCTGCTTCCCTGGGGTTGGCAGTAAGGATGGTGTTGTCTGGCCCTTGGCATTGTGTGGCTGGGCACCTCCATGTGCCCCTGGCAGCACTGCCCCTGTTCAGGGATGGGGGCAGAGCTGAGGGAGGTGCCAGGTGGCTGCTGTCTCCCCTCCTGCCAGAAGCTTTGCTGGGATCCATCACTCTCTGCCTCTTCCCTGCTGTACACAGACTATGAAGATGAGGAGGAATGGAGCCCATGGTCCCCTTGCAGCATCACCTGTGGCAGTGGTAACCAGAAGAGGACCCGGTCCTGTGGCTATGCCTGCACAGCAACAGAGTCGAGGACCTGTGATCTGACACACTGCCCTGGTGAGCCCCTGGTCTTATCAGTCCTTGGGTACTGTCTGGCTCGGATATGAGCTGGTCCCCACTGCTGCAGGATGGGCCTTGCTTGTGCTTCAAGAATTAGTTATGTTTAATGTGATCAGGGCTAATGACCATGGGGCTTTGTTTCCACAAAGAAGCTATGACTGGGCTTCTTGTCTCCCCAGGAGTTGTGGGGCCCAGGTGTGGTAGAGCTGGCATCACACACATTTGGTGTGTGACCTCTAGCACCTCTCTCACATTGGGAGCTTGAAATCCTCTCCTGAGGCATATTGAGAGCCAGCTCTATCCACTGGCATTTACATAACTAACAGCTTCTGTTGGGCCAGTCTGGCTGCTGGCTCTTCCTTCCAAACACAGGGCCATGTTATCAAAGAAGTGGCAGGAGAGGGGCTGGGAGATGGACAGTGTCTGGTGCACATACAGAGGAAATAAAACCACCATGACTCCCGGTGTTCAGCCAGGCTCTTTGTTTTGGTTTTTTCCTGTCTCAAGGAGCAGAAGGAGAAATGGTCTTCCCCACAGAGGAGACACCTTTCAAAAGTGACAACACTACAGAGCTGTTCAACTCAGGTCAGCCTCTGCTTTGCACTGGGGGCTTCAGTCACAGACCTTGGGAGGGTCATAGCTGGCTGGTGGGGAGGGCTCTGCCAAGGGGTCCAGACCTAAGTCATCCAATGCACTGCCATGTGCAGGCTTCAGTGGTCATGCTGGGAAACCCAGTTGCTCCCACAGCCCTGGAACAACACAGTCCTGCTTTAGGGTTCAGTGGCTGAGGCCAGCCTGCCACTTGCCCTCTCCTGTGAGGGAATGTTGCCAGCCTGGCCTCAGCACAAAATCCCTTCCCTCTGTCACTGTCTTGGGGATGGAGCCTGGGCTCCAGCTCGTCCCAAGAGCCTGGATGCTCCTGCCGGGTGGTTGCAGGTTCTGCTGGTGGTGTTGGCACGGCTTCAGGCAAATGGCAGCTGGGTAAAAAGTGGGTTGCAGAGTGCGCATGCCCTCACCCTTTTGGTACCCTCCCCGCAGAGGTGGACAGCTGTGAGAAGTGGCTGAACTGCAAGAGCGACTTCCTCACCAAGTACCTGAGCAAGGTACTGACGGACCTGCCCAGCTGCCCCTGCTCCTACCCGCTGGAGGCCGTCTACAGTGCCGTCAACCTGCGGGACGAGCAGCGGGGCAAGAGCTTCCGATGGCGGGATGCCAGCGGCCCCAAGGAGCGCCTGGACATCTACAAGCCGACGGCACGCTTCTGCCTGCGCTCCATGCTCTCCCTGGACAGCACCACCCTGGCTGCCCAGCACTGCTGCTACGATGAGCACACCCGCCTCATCACCCGTGGCAAGGGGGCCGGTGTCCCCAACCTCATCAGCACCGAGTTCTCTCCAGAGCTGCACTACAAGGTGGACATGCTGCCCTGGATCCTTTGCAAGGGTGACTGGAGCCGGTATCACGCCGTCCGGCCCCCCAACAATGGGCAACGGTGTGCTGACAACCCCGCCGAGGAGGAGTACCTGTCCCAGCTGCAGGAGGCCAAGGAGTACTAGCCACAGCTGCTCTCAAAGAAGCCACCACCACCATTGGCTCGCACCCCTGCACAGCCTGGCCAGCCCTGACCCTGCTCATGGGCTCCTCAGTGGTGCCAGGCAAAATGGGGAAGATGTGCCATCTGTCTCATCCCCTCAGAGGGGCATCTCAGTCCCACTCTGATTTCTGAGGGTGCTGGAGGTTATTGTGGTGCAGTCCCTGCCGTGCCACCCAGGGCAGTCCTGCAGTCTAGGGCTCCTGGCCTGGCATGTGGAGAGCAGCAGGGTCTGGGAGGTATAAAGGGAACAAAGGACTGCTCCCGGCTGCTTTTGTTCTCTATGACCTTTCAGTGCAGCCTGAGAGCTGAGCACAAGGTGAAGTGGGCTCAGCTCCTGCTGGCTTCACACCACATCTGCAGAGCTGCCGCAGGCATGGCTGCCTGCTCTTGTCTGTACACCTGCCCTGGCACACGCTGGTTTATGTCTGAAACCGGGGGTAGGTCTTCCTAGAGAGTGCAGGGCTGTTCCAGCCACACATAGGCCCAGAGCAGGGCCTTCCCCATCCTTGGGTTTGTGCATGCACGGTTGGGAAGGAGCAGGGAAAGGCTTATCAGGGTCTGTGGGTCTGGGGGGGGCTGTGGGGCAGGAGGGGACTGGCTGCCTGGGCTTCCTTGGCAAGATTGTCTAGCCATGAGGGTTCTGGCTGCCAAAACTACACGTAGGTGGACCTCAGAGGAGGTCAGCATGGGAACACACCACTTGTGTGCATTTCAGCCCCTCTGCCTTGGTGCTTGAGGGAGCAGGGTGGTAGCATCTGTGCAAGTCACAGCACTAGCCTTCTACCAGACCTTAGCCTCTTGGCAGTCCCCAGAGGGTCTCAGGAGCACTTGTGACACAGCCCAAAAGAAAGTCCTGTGTTTCCCACTCACAGCCCTGCCAGGGGCAGGAGGCACCTTGGCCACTGCTCCTGCCGTTGCTGGTGAGGAGCAAAAAGTACTGAGCCAAGCTAGGCCCTGCTCCATGCTGAGTCTGCCCATGTTCCCAGCTGCTCCATTCTGTGTCTGCCCAGGTCCCTATGTGGAGGCAGCCCAGATGAAGTGGGCCATGGACCCCTTAGCCTTGCTTCCAGGCCAGGCTCATCCAACTGTGGCTCCAGAGGAGGGAGGCACATGTGTGCTAAGAATGTCAATGCCTGGTGTCCACAGATCAGGGATTGTGATGCTTTCTGTTGGCACTTTGATCCTGCCTGGGTTTTATTCAGCTTTTCACAGGTCCATGGCAGTGTCTCCCAGCATATTTTGGAAGCTTTTCTGCAGAAAAACTAGGCTGAGCACCTTTGTCCCTGGACATTCAGTTGCTGAACTGGCAGAAAATTTATAGCTTTTATTTAACAAATTTTATGCATCAGGGGAAATAAAAGTCAAGCACACATGAAGAAGAATGGAGTCATTTCTACACTTGAGGTTTCATGCAAGGCTGCTAGCTACTCTGTGTACTCCTGCAGGGCACTGTTGAACCAAATAACTGGTTGCAGAGGTCGTTAGTTGACCATCCTGTGCTCTCTGTCCTTCTTACAGGAGCTTTCTCCAGCCTTAGTGAATATCCTCAGTCTGAAAGCTCTTGGGGAGTCTTTCTAGGGGTGTTTTTGTATCTGTTGAGTGTATGTTGATCCATTTGCCTTGGTTACTGATAAAATATTGCATCCTTGGTCATCCATGCCTAAGACTTCATAGGTGGTAAAACAAAAGTATTAATGAAGTTATCACTGAATTATTCTTACTCAAGTATTATGATGCCCCTGTATCCCCAGGCTCTGGATATGGGTTCTGTCAAAATACAGGCAGACATCATCCATTTCCCAACAGACATGCAGTCTGAGATGACCAGTGTTCTGTAAATGGTGAGAAGGAAGAGAACCAAATAAACATGGATGGAGACCCAGACCTTGGAACATTTTCATGATCGCTACTTGTTCTCTAGCCCAGACGGTCATTCACTCACTAGATTCTGGCAAAGAGGTAGGTCATACAGAGGTGGTCAAGAGGGGGTGACAGTGATCTGGTGGCTTGGTTCTGGGAGCCAGGGAGCCTCAGTAAGAGACATGGAAACAAACTGAGCGTCTGAAGCCATGGAAGAATAAGTTTGTTAACTGCAATCATTCAGCAGAGCATATGGCCACTGCCATACCATACACCATCATTAACATCATCAGACTCTCAGTGGAGTTTATTTACCATCAATGCAGACTTCTTTAAAGCAACCTCCTGTTGAATGTGTCTAGTGTTCAGTCTTGGACCCATGCATGGCAGCAGGACTTCTACAGTCTTTCTTGAAGAACAGTACGAGTGTTACACAGGATTTTTACCCTCCTCTTCTGTACACTGGCTATGTCAACCTGTCTAACTCCCAGAAAAAAACTTGTAATTTCTGTAATAACTGGAGTTCCTGTCCGAGGGCAAGTAAAAAAATTTCTTGCATTGGTACTTCCTTGTTCCCTGATGCCCCCACAAAAGCTAGTTGAAAGCCAAGTAGCTGTTCTGCTTTGCTGCCTATGTGGTTTGGACAATGCAGGCACTAACTGGAGCATGAGAAAGAAGCATTGTTGTTCCTCATACAAGCACCTTACACACCATGAGGCTTTGCAGAACACCATGAGAAAAGCAGACATTAAGCAAGTGTTTATTTTTATATCCCATCAAAGATTCTGTCCAGCCCACTGCTATTTAAGTGATGAATCTCTAAGCTTCCTCTCCTTAAGTTTATTGTTTTTTTATATATATAATATATATATAAAATGTCTTTTATTCCTACAGAACTTCACAGAGAAGAATTCTTTAATCTGATGCTGCAATAAAGCACTTTATATATGTCTATGTCATGCTGATGTCATTCAGTTGTGACTGAAGCATGTGTTGCTATTTATTTTGGTTGAGAGGGATGATATTATGTCTTGGGTTCCCAGCCCCAGTTGGGGCCCTGATGGCTTTGCTTCCTTCCCTTAACATTTGCATTTGAAGTTGTCTGGCTGCAAAAGTCACAGGTAAGAAAGACTATCTGGAGCCCATGGGATATGTGAAGTTCTGCTTACAGGGAAGGAAGCCCCCTACAAGAAGACCCTCAGGGGCAGTGCTGATAAGCAAATGCATTGCTGGTGCCCCAGCCCTGACCTTGGGTTTTATTGCATGGTCAGCCTGACCAGAGCTGGATGCTGGCTGATGGTCCAGCACACCACTTTAAGCAGGAGTATTAAGCATGGAAGAAGGGGGGAAAAAAACCCCAGCATCATCCCAGATGAAAAACTGGTTTGGTAAACCACCTCCAGAGCCAACAGCTAATTATAGCAGGGGTATTTGCAAAGCTTTCCAGTGATCACAACTTTTTGTTGCTGTTAATTAAGCGTGTAAATCATAAACACTTCCAAGCTCTTGCTGTTTCCAGCTGTTTCCCCTCCTTCTCTCTTGCTCCTTTTGCTTTGTGCTGGCTGCACATCTGTCAAGGGTTATCTGCCACTCTAGCACGGGATTCTGCATCACAGCTGCCTGGCACCACTGCTGGCCCCTGCCTGGGGGGAGCAGGTGACTCCTCTCAGTGAAGGATGCTAGGGGCTTCCTACCGGCCTTCTGCAACACCAAAAACAGTGTTGCATGGAGCCCAAGCCAGGGGGAGCAGGCTGAGCTCCACTCTGCTCAGAGAAAATCCCACTTTCCCTGGAGGGGCAGTCAGCACTTAGTGCTATGTGTATAACATGCCTAATGTGCTTTTATCCTCTGCAACAAGGTACTTGCTGTGTTAGATGATGAACCCTGCTGTGAAACTCCTGGGATATAGAAATCCCACAGCCAGAGGATGAAGCAGGAAGAATTCTTCCCCTATTTCTGCAGGTGCTGAAGACCTGGAGATGTCACCTGAATTCAGAGAGTGAGTCTTAAGCTGCACTTTTGCCTGCTGCTTTGAACACAAAACTTCTTGACCAGGTGCTGTTGAGTTATCTTAGCCTGCCAGCCTGGACTGGAGCTGAGCTGGACCAGTCCCCAGACATCCAGTGTGCAGTGGTGTTTGTTTGCACATAGAAGGAGCCGTGCCCAGATTTTGCTGGGGCACAGGTGGGGTGAGTAAAGCCCATCTCTCAGGGATGAACATGAGATTTTGTAGGAACATGTTTACAGCAACAGAGATCCCATTACCTGACTGATTTTTTTCAGGGCCCCAGCTCCAATAATCTGTTTCCTAGAAAGCACACAAAAACCTAGGAAAGAGCAAGGTGTGACTGTGGTCTGTGGATCTTGAGTTAAAACTGTAGTTCTAGAGAAGAAACAAACCTTTCAGACACCCCTGTTCCGGCCTGTGGAGGGACACACCCCACTGTGTGGTTACATTAATCTTCTGTGCTGGTGGCACACCTCTGGAGAAGACTAGAAAAAAACCAAACCCCAACATGCTGCAGGTTTTCAGCTGTAGTCTTGCTGACCTCACTTTTCCACTTGGTAAAAAAATTTTTGATCCTAAACTTGTCTTTTACAGGACCAGTGGTAATGTAATTTTCTTTTTTTGCTTTTAGTTACCACGTGTATTATGTTCTGTACTGAAATGTACTGGATTCATTACAGCTTTATTAGGCCTTCCCTTATTTACTAATAAAACTATTATATAGAGCATTGCCTACAGTCTTAAAAAAGTCCAGAAACCCTTTTTGGTTTATTGTTTGATGGTTGCTCCTTACTCATCTCCATGTGCCTCATAATGGCATAGTCAGTGAGGCTCCACCTCTGACTTTTATAACTGAAAAATTCATTTCTGTTTTGTTTTTTTTACCTTTGTTTTCTTTAATTTATAAGACTTCCCCTCTTATCCTATGTCAGATTCTTAAAGAGCTGTTGGACCAGAGTACACTGAACCTTGCTTTTCTCCCTAATCTTGTACACCCCTCCCTTCTCCAAATAGCTGAAGGACTACTAAACTGTGACTGTCTCCCAACACTTCCAAGTAAAGCAGAGGTCTGGGGTTTCTCATTAACATTGTGTAGCTGCCCCGGAGGTCAGCTGTAGCTGAAGGAGTGTGTGTCTGCTGGCAGTAGGCAGATGCAGTGCAGTGACTTTCTCTAGTATGACTTAAGGCTCAGATCTTCACCAGGTAAATATCTGAAGTGGTGTAAGGCCTTAATTACCATTGCTGTGCCCCATTAGAGCTGGCACAGCCTGGCATGTTCTGCCTGAGTGCACAGCCTGGCCTTTTAGCACAAGCTTTCCTTCAGTGCCGGGTTAGTCCAAGAGATTCACGTGTGAACAGCAGCCAAGGCATGGCTACATTACACAGCCTGTTCTGCTGCTGTGGGGATGGTGATTTCCAGCCTGCAGGGCAGGGAGCCAGCTGGGGAAGCACCAGCATAACTCAGGGTAGTCAGTTTTGCTGGAAGAGCCCTCAAATGGCCTCTGAGCAAAGCCCTGAGTCCATGAGCCCCATGCATGTGGGCTGCTGGCAGAGGCCAAAGCGTGCCCTATTAGAGTAGCAGCAGGATGCCTGAAGTAAACCCTGCTTGTGATGAAAGGAAGGCAATTAAAATTCCACTTCAGTTGCCTTCCTGTCCCACTTCCTAACCTTCCAGCAGCAGGTGATTAGCAGGGCCTGCCTTCTGCTGCCCTGGCCCAGCTGTGCCAGCAGAGCCTGCAGCAGGCGAGCACTGCTACTGCGGCATAGCTGCCGAAGCACAGCAAGGACATCGCAACTCAGCTGTCACGTTTGTCTCAAGTTGACTTAGAACAAGCTCATTTTCTTCAGTTTTTAAATAATTTTGCTTTTCTTTTACCAAATTTTTGGCTGTGAACTCACTTGCTAGCCCTGCTGTTTAATGTTTCCTATGTTGTGTTCAGGATTTCCCAAAGAGAAGACCAAGCATACAGGCTGTCCAGTGAGATCAGTGTGGCTCCATCATGTTACCCACCCACTACTGGGTGCATATCCTAGCTCATCTGTGCACAAAAATCCTGGCAAAATAGCTGCATCCATTTTCCCAGCCAGACAGTGCTTTAGGGAAGACAGCCCTGCATGGCACAGGGAAGCTCTACCATCTCTACAGCTACCTCTTTGTACAGCCTCCTTTGCTCTCACAGGCCAGCTCAGGGATGAGTACACACTACAGAATTAAGTTCCATGCCACTTTCTTGATGTCTGTCTGTACATACTTTCTTGATGTCTGTCTGTACATGCGTTATGATGATTTCATACTTCAGCACTTTGGAATAGTGAGAACAGGCAGAATCCTCTTTCTAGTTTAAAAGGAGACTCAAACAACTACATTCAGGGTTTTTTTTAAAACAGGTACTTATAAGAGAAAAACAAAGTATCCAAGAGCAGCTCATGCCTCAGAAAGAAAACCAAGCACTTCTGTCACCCTTGAGGTTAAGCAGGTTGACACTTCTGATCAGATTTTCACCCCTCCTATAAACAAGTTTATTGCTTTAGAAGACAGCTCCAGGAGCTAACATATTAGCAGGTGAGAACAAGCAGGTTCTTTTCTTCCTGACCAGTTAAAGCAATAGCTGAAGTATGATGAGCGAAAAGTACTGCACTCTGTAACAGACAAAAGTTTGCTTTGGCCTGAAGCTCTTGGCAGTAGCTGGCCCTGGGCCCCACAACCCTCAAGAACCATTCTGTAGGTGGGAGTTTCCCTAGCAGTGGATTGCATGATTGTCGTTCTTGTAGAGCAGACCAGTGGAAGTGTAAGAAACAATTGTGTTGAATGGGATATGCAAAGAGGAACAGCTTGAACAGGATCATGGATCCCTTCAAAAATGGGAAGGGTTTGAAACATTTACTAGCGGCAGATCAAAAGCAGAGGGAAAATGAGCAGCTGCTCAGACTAAAAACTGCATCAAGCTCATGCTCTCTACTCCCCCAGAAGTGAGGAGTAAATCACATTGGCATCAGCAATCCTCATTGATCAGTGTTTTTCCACACAGATCCCTCCCTCCCTATTGCCCAACCCTTTGAACTCAAGCCAATTTGAGGACACAAATTCCACAGTTTTTTTAAGTTAGGTTTATTTAGCAATAGAAGTATGTACATGTAAGAGAATCCCCTGCAGCACAAGACATGCACAAAGCAGTGAGGGACTGAAAATGGTGCTGCTCCATGGCCTTCCTCATCACCTGTCATCCCACTTTACTCAGCGGCAGGGCCAAGATTAGAAAGGAACAGGCGAGAAATGTATCAGTCCATGTGGCAGAGTCTTCAGGCAGAGCCTCCCAGCAATCAGTATTAAAACAAGCGGGCACCATAACCAAATGTCTGTTTAATGCCCTCGAAGTAGTAGCGCTGCCAGCCTTGCTTTGTTCTTTCTTCTTCACTGGCAGGAATGCCCTTGCCTTCCAAGCACACTTCTGTCTCGCCACCTTTGTCATTGAAGTTCAAGGTAATGGTTGCAAAGTGCCCTAGAGGAACCAAAGCAAGTCTGTCAGCAGTGTGTAGTGCAGTACATACAGCCCCCACAGGCTGCTCCGCCCCTCCTTTCACAGGGCAGCACTTAAGACTCTTGGAGGTCCTTCCCAAGAGGGTCTACTGACGGCAGCTGTAGGCCTTCCCTAGGAACACAGCTAGGAGAGGGCTCCCTCTTCCTGCAGTTTGAAGGAGTTGCAACTACAGCTGCACAAGCAGCTACTTCATCCTTCCTACCTGGTCAGTGCTCTCTACACAGTGGCTGAAGATGCACACATGATAATGTGGGATAGGAAGCTGGGAAAACACTGGAGCAGCTCCCAAAACATCGCGTGCTCCCCGATCATGAGCCACAATGAAGTGTGGCAAATGGGGCTGGTATCCTTCAAAGACAGGCTGGACTACTTACCAGCTGGCCAAGATTTAAATCTCCATTTCATAACAAGTTGCTTCTCAGGAACCTTGAAAAGGGAGACAAAAAACTGAGTAGTAATTTTTTGTAAATCCTGCAGTCTAATAGAAAGCATTTAAAATTGTGTTGATATCAATGTAGCCATAGAGATCCTTTAAGAAACACACACACACACACACACAGATGGGAAGAGATTTAAGTGTCCTTTTCTTTTCAATCCCCTTCTAGAAAGATATGCAATAGTACAGTCCCAAACACTGAGACAGAGTTCCTGTCCAGAAGATTTAAGTGGCAATTGAGCCAAAGAGAAAAAGAGTTACTATCTTTAACACTCCTCCAACCCCTGTAAGTAAAATCACACAAAGACAGGGGAGATCTATGACTGGAAGCTACATTTTCTCCCCAGACTGAAGTGCCATGCATTAATTCACACTACTAGGAATGCTTCAATAGCCACAGAAATTATAGATAACTATTGGGCACCAGGTAGAGCCCACAGTTAGATAACAGAAGCATTGTAATGGAACTGATAAAAAGTTACAGCCTGATAACAGTTCTGCCTCTGTGCAAGATACACCTGAACTTGTTAGTACTTACTAGGTCAACAAACTCTCCTGTGACACTGCCATCCAGCAACTGAAACTTGCCTCCTTTATCGGCCTCCAAGGTGGCTTGTGCGTGGGTGAAAGCCTGGACCATCTGAAAAGAATTCAGGAGCAGACCTGTATTACTTGACATTATCTTCCTGAAAACTTGTTGCCTAAAGCCTCCCACCCAGCTACAAAAGTTCTGGAAGAAGAGGTAAGTCAATACTGTAAGGTCTTCAGCTAAAGACAAAACCCCTGCCCTGGCCAGAAAAGCCATTTATCACTACACCAACATTTCACCTGCCCAAGGAAAAGAACCTCCAGCTTTCTACTGCTATGCAGTGTTCTGAGTCACAGTGATTTTACTTTGTTGATTTCTTAAGGAAACCTACTAAGAAAAAAATATGCTTTTCTTTTTCATTTTTCTCATCAAAACAGGAAGAACAAAAGACTAAGACCATGTTTAAATAATAATACAATGCTCCTCTCTCATCCTAAACTGTATAATAGCGTGCATAAAAGTGGAAACTATTTCCAAAGCACACTTTTGATACCCCCTAACCTTAAAAGGAAAAAACAAAAACAAACCAGAAGGACACAACTGTAAATACCAAGTGATCTGGCCACATGCAGTAAGGGATACACCTACACATAGGTGCTGACAGCTGTCTGGAACTTGCTTCTGGTTGGCATTAATCCCCTCTTGTCAACTGTGTGAAAAGATGCACACACAAGCTTTCAGCAACTACTCTGCAGAACAGCTTTCTTATTCCATTCTCATGGATTGTGAGTGTCCTACAGAACTTCTTAAAAAGCTTATTAGGAAGAGCCTCCTATATGCAAAGAACAACTTCCAGAACAAGCCAGGCATTACCTCCTGAGTAACGAATACCCGGTAGAGCTCCTCAGGAGATGTTAAGAAGGTGTCCTTCAAACTGATCTTACAGGTAGGGATCTTGACTCCTATGGATTTGGACTGTGATGTGGCAGTACTGCTCTTGGCAGCCATCTAACAAAACAAGGAAATCAAACACATAACACATTTTTCATCAAAAAAAAAAACCCCAAACCAAAAATCAACAAATGGTTCACATATCCAAAGGGAAAAACAAAGGCTCTTGGTAAAGATGCAATCAGACACAACCGTACTTAAATGTAAAAAGGAGATTTACCACTTTGCTTGGAAGAAACATCATGTGCTGCCAATGGAAACAGTCACACCTATTCCATGATTGCCAATTCCCGAATGTATATATTCTACACACAACATAGGTTGCTCCTCTAAGTCCTGGAATCTAATACAGTGTACCTTTCTTCACTGATCCCAAAGCATGTTTGCAGTTTTGTTTACCTTGCGGTCTTCTGCTTTAGGAGCCACCTGAGGTGCTGTTTCCATATGTTCACCATTCACTGTGGGCAAAATCATGCCCTGGGTGAATTCTGGAAAGACAGGAATGTGCCCATGAAACCAATGAAAGATCAAGTAAACTTTCTGACTGTACTTTGAAATACACAATCAAAAATGGCTTCCTGGTTTCCCCCTTGCTCTTGCTAGTATCTATGACTTGAAACAGTTTTTAGAAAAAGTAAACAGACCTCTTTTTACAAGCACTTAATTCTTTCCCTCACTACTCTCCACCAAAGGCCATGTCAGAACCTGCCTACACTAACAATTAGGAAGTCACCTCCTCTTTGCAGCATAGACATACCATCTTCTACATGCTGCTCTTGCATTAATGTTGGTTAGTCTCAGACTTAGATAGCTTTTTTCCTCTCTCACTCTCTAATACAAATTGCAAACACGTAAAAAACTTTTGCCTGGCTGGCCTAGACACACCAAACCAAACTTTTCCATTTCTTTTCACAATGGCTCTTCATTTCTTGTATCACTGCAGTAAACAATAGTAACTTCTAACTCCCTCTTTGATTTATCACCAGATGCCAGGACAACACATGGGAAGTCAGGCAAGCCTTGCCAGTGCCCTGTCCAGCAGCACTAGCCCTTCTGTAACTCCATTAGAACCTTCAGCCTCATTCAGAATTACATTTGCTTTTTCTCCACCTCAGTAACTTCTGGTTTTACCAATTATACAACATTTTTCTCCTTTTTCTTCCTCTTCATCTGTTCAGAGTAGCAAGAGTTCCATTAAAAAGCAGAGTTTTATCATATGTGCATAAACCTGTATCCTGCAATACTTGGTTCCCACTTATTCACATTTATTGCAGCCCACAAGATCATACAGTTTTTTTTCTGATTAGCATTCTTATCTTTCACTGGGTGACTGCATCTCCCAGCCTGAACACTATAGTGCCTGAAAAATAAAAACAAGAGTAGAGAAATTTGATCCTGGAAAAACAGCAATTTGTACCCAGTGCATCTAGAACATGTAGTGTAATATAAGTAAATGGATATAAAAAGCAACTGTAGCATTCCCAGCCTATATTTGAGAGGAAAGCCAAACTCAACCAAAACACATTGATTTAACTCCAACTGCTGAACTCAGATTTAACTTAAAAAAAATAAATTTGATCCAGATGCTGAGACAGCTCATTAAAAGACACCAACAAAACCTGCAGAGCAATTTCCAGACATCAGTTATTCTAAAGTCCAAGTAACACTAAATGTCTTTACCAGTGTGGCAAGAGGGAAAAAAAACCCAACAAAAACAAACCACAAACTGGAGAAGATATCACCTTCCAAGAAAGTAAGCAAACCGAAGGCCAGATTGTGCCACAGGCAGTGATTATATCACTGGGGTAGCCAACACATTTTACTGGCTTTCATTTTCTCTGTAGCTTCAGGATATGAAGGGCATTCTCAGTTTTAAAGCATAAATTCAAAAGTACTGTTTATTACTGCATTATCAAGAAAACAAACCTTTCTGGGCTGTAGTATACTGTCTAGAGCCAGAAATGCTTCTTCCCAAAATTAATGTTATTGCTCTGACACCACTCTGTTGAGATGGAGCAAGCAACTCCTCTCTTCACCCTCATTCCTTCTTTAGAATTAGTACATATGGGTTCCTATAGCACTTCTCCATCTCAGTTACATACCCGTTTTGAGAGTGCTGATGTAAGTTTTCATTGCATCTCTAATTTTCTTTGCACCCTCTTGCTTCATTAAGGTCTTCAAGTTAGTGTCAGGCTCATCTTTAGCAAGGCTGACAAGGATCTAAACAACAAAGACAAGCATTCATTAACTAGGCCAAATGTGCACGCTTCTTTTGTTACTCAATTCAACATCACAGACTTTGGCTAAACTTCTATAAACACCCTTGCAGTTTTATACATCTTACATTTCATCTCTCTCAGCCTACAGTACTGTACCTATGTGCCTAAATACCTTGTGCTACAGAGCCCTTTGCATCTAGAAGACAGGAATTAATTTGATAAAGGTACCGCACGATGCGGGAGAGATTCTATCAGGGAGTGTAGTGACAGAATGAAAGATAACGGTTTTAAATTGAAAAAAGGTACATTTAGATTAAGAATTAGAAAGAAATTTTTTACTCTGGTTCTTTACTCTAAGGGTGGTGAGGCACTGAAACAGGTTGCTCAGAGAATCTGTGGATGTTCCAGCCCTGGATGTGTTCAAGGCCAGGTTGGATGGAGCTCTGACTAACCTGGTCTAGTGATAGATGTCTGTGCTCATAGCGAAGAGGTTGGCAATAGATGACCTTTAAAGATCTCATCCAACCCAAACCATTCTTTGATTCTATTAACTTAAGCAGTCTCTAGCAGAAAAAAAAATCCTATACAAACATTCCAAGAAAGGTAACAGGGAAGGAAATATTAATGCTGTGACTATTCCTGTTAGAGTACTTCATACATCCAGCTGTACTTACCTCAACTTCCTCAATGTCATTTTCATCCGAGAGATTAGGAATCTCCACATAACCTTTGTACTTCACTCCTGTCTTTGAGGTGCCTGCGATTATAATTATATAGTTCAGATCAACCTTTCTTACTCTGGTTGTTCTCAAAGCAAACTTGTAGCAAAATACATTACTCTCCTTTATTATTACTTCCCAGATGAGATAATTATCCTTGCTCTTGGTATTATACCTGAACCTGACCTTGAAACAGGAAGGATGCACCTCACTCACCAGTCCATGCCAGCTTGATAGCCCACTCATAGAAGAAGATAAGTTTCCCTTTGCGGTTGTTAATGGAGGCCTCTCCATCCAGTTTGCTCACTTCTGTCACCTCACACGCCCCTTCCTCACCCTCCACCCTGACAGGCAGGAGGAGAGCTTTCAGCCGCTCCGTGGACCAGTTGGAGGCATCCCTCTCCGTCCTGCAGGAAAACCGAGCGGGGTGAGAATCTGGGACAGGCCACGCTGACAGCACATATTGGGACTATCCAGTGTTCCCCGATCTCGTGTCTCTGCTCCGCTTCAGCACAAACACACACAGGTTTCTTCCCCAGACCATCTCTACGCATTCCCCCGGCACACCTCGGCTCGGGCACCCCCCTACACACGCAGGAGCCGGGGGTCGCCCCAGAGGATCAGCCCGGACCCCCCGTCTCAGCACCAGCCCGCGAGGAGGGGACGGGAG